AGGAAGGAAGAAGGAATGAGGGAGAGAAGAAGGAAAGAGGGAAGGAAAGAAGGAAGGAATGAGGGAGAGAAGAAGGAAAGAGGGAAGGAAGGAAGTAGGAATGAGGGAGAGAAAAAGGAAAGAGGGAAGGAAGGAAGAAGGAATGAGGGAGAGAAGAAGGAAAGAGGGAAGGAAGGAAGAAGGAATGAGGAAGAGAAGAAGGAAAGAGGGAAGGAAGGAAGTAGGAATGAGGGCGAGAAGAAGGAAAGATGGAAGGAAGGAAGTAGGAATGAGGAAGAGAAGAAGGAAAGAGGGAAGGAAGGAAGAAGGAAGGAAGGAGAGAAGAAGGAAAGAGGGAAGGAGGCAGAAAAGGAAGGAGGAAGACCGAGGGAGAAAGGATGGAATAAGGGAAGGGAGGGAGGAAGGAGAGAAGGGAGAAAGGAAAGAAGGAAGGAAGGTAGGTTTACCTGGCTGGGGAATTCTTCTTCCTCCTCTTTCTTCCTCTTCATCCTCCTCCTCCTTTCTTCCTCCTCATCCCTCTTTCATCTCCCAGAGGTGATTGGCGTGGCCGAACTGGTCAACAAAATCAACGGCCCGTGGTTTAGCAAATTTGACGAGGATCTGGCCACCGCCTTCTCCATCTACTGCGGCATCAGCATCGCTCATGTACGTGAGTTTTGACCCTCCTTTTTCCCCTTCTTCATTCTCTTGGCTCGTGTCCAGGGGGAGCTGGGCAGCTTCCGGGTGCAGAGACTCAGGTCCACTGGGGGATCCTGGGATCCGTAGCTCAATGCACCTAGATGGAAGGTTGCACCTAGACCTGGCTCCTTAGGGGGGGGGGGAGAGGAACCTGGGAAATCAACTTGACCAGTCTCTCCCGCGGAGAAGTTGGATGCCCCAGGACGGACTCAAGAAATCTTCCTTTTTCCTCCTCACAGTCTTTGCTCTACAAGAAAGTCCACGAGGCTCAATACCGAAGCCACTTGGCCAATGAGATGATGATGTATCACATGAAGGTAATCCGAAGGCTAAAACGAAGAATAATTTGGGGGCCCTACTTGAGCTGTGGTTGCACAAAAATAAATTAAAAACGAGATCCAGACAGCTGGGAGGAAAGGATCAATANCTTCTCCATTCTTCATTCTATTCTTTCCTCTTCTCTATCCTTTTCTCTTCTCTTCTCTCCTCTTCTTTCCTCTTCTCCATTCTTCATTCTATTCTATTCTCTATTCTATTCTATTCTATTTTCTATCCTTCATTCTCTTCTCTATTCTATTCTGTTCTTTCCTCTTCTCCTTCCTTCCTTTTTCTCTACCCTTCCCTTCTCTTCTGGAAGGCACCTCAGAGGTCATCTAGTCCAACCTCCTGCTCGGGCAAGAGACCCTATAACATCCCAGCCAAACTAAAGGCGGAGCCCGTGATGGAGGCCGCGCGAGGCTCCATCTCTTGTGCAGTCAGGAATCCGTTGCCCTCCTTGCCAGGGGGGCTGGACTAGCAGACCTCGAAGGTCCCCCCCCTGACTCTGACATTCGGTTATTCTGAGCAACTTGGGATTGGGAGAAGAGGCGTAGAAGTGTGTCTCCTTTCCACACAAAAAAACCCCCTCCCCGCGATGTTGATCCTTAGAAAAGAGGAGAACGTTCACCTGTCTTTCTTCCCCCGCAGGCTCTTTTGCAAGTGGCCAAGAACCTGTTCACTCACCTGGGTAGGTATCCAAAGGCACCCAGCGCACTAGCCAAGAGCCGGAAGAACCAGGCGCTGACCTGGCTGGTCTCCACTTCCGGAGCCTCCCCCGAGAGCCTCTGCTGATGATTATGCCCTGAAATTGGGGGTGGCTGGCCAGCCTTCCTGTCCAGTGGAAGTGGGGTGGGAATAAAAAGCCCCTCCCCAAATACACGCCTGAGGTCCATGGGAAGGTTTTCTGAGCGCCGAATTCCTCTTTCAGATGACGTCTCGGTGCTGCTACAGGAGATCATCACGGAAGCCAGGAATCTCAGCAATGCTGAAATGTGGGTCTCCTCCTGGGCAGGAGGGCCTGGTGGTCGCAGCTGGGGTGGGGGTGGGTGGGATATGCTTGAGGAACAGCCCAAAAGAGCCACGGGGTGGCGGGGGGAGGAGGAGGTGTCTTTGGATTGCTCACCGTGTCTCCAAATCCTGGAGGGGATAGCAGGGGGGTCTTTTATAGTTCAGTTACTACAAGAATCTCCTGGATGGAAATTCCTGCTTGTAATTTGTGACTCTGGGTGGAGAAACCGATGAAAAGTAGAAAGTGGGGGGTGGAATGGGGAGGAGTGTGGGGAGGGAGGGAGGAGGAAGAGAGAGAAGGAGAGAAGGACGGATGGAAGGAAGGGAGGGAGAGAGAGAGAGAAGGAAGAAAGACAGAAGGGAGAGAGAAAAGGAGAAAGAGGAAGGAGGGAGGGAGGGATGATGGAAGGAAGGGAGGGAGAAAGGGAGGAATAGGGGAGGAGGCAGGGAGCAAGGAGAAGAGGAGGGGGAAGGAAGAAAGGGAGGGAGAGAAGGAAGGGGATGGGATGGAGAGAGGGAGGGAGGAAGAAAGGGATGGATGGATGCATAGACGATGGAAGGGAGGGAGAGAGGGAGGAAGAGAGAAAGGGGGCATAGGGAGGGAGAGGGAGAAGGAAGAAAGGGTGGGAGGAAGAGTAGGAAGGAGGATAGAACGGACGGAGGAAGAATGAAAGGAAGGGAGAGAGGGGGGGAAAGAAAAAGGAATGATGGAAGTGAGGTAAGAAGGGAGAAAGGGAGGAAGAAGGGAGAGAGAGAAGGAAGGAGGATGGAATGACGAGAGGGAGGGAGGGAGAAAGAAAGGGATGGATGGATGGAATGCATAGATGATGGAAGGGAGGAGGGAGGGAGCAAGGAAGAGAGAAAGGGAGGGAGAAGAAAGAAAGGGAGGGAGAGAAGGAAGGAGGATGGAATGGAGAGAGGGAGGGAGAAAGAAAGGGATGGATGGATGGAATGCATAGATGATGGAAGGGAGGAGGGAGGGAGCAAGGAAGAGAGAAAGGGAGGGAGAAGAAAGAAAGGGAGGGAGAGAAGGAAGGAGGATGGAATGGAGAGAGGGAGGGAGAAAGAAAGGGATGGATGG